ATTAACCTATTAACTATTTCTACAAATTACAATATGAAAAGCTATTAGTATGATATTAATATTCGATAAATATTAATTATCTTATGTTTATGTTATAATAGTATACAAACATTACAAACTATACAAAGTACAAACGTATTATAAACTTGTAACACAGATTCCAAAGATTCCAACAAACATACCTATAAACGAACACAAATTGACAAATCAATTTTTCGTCATTGTAATCTGTTTATTGTTGTATGTATATATATATGTATGTTATGCCTACAATCTACATCTACTATTGACTACTTACGTCATGCTACCTAGAAACGTTAACTAACACAGATATTTAAGTATATTGGTATCACGTACATCACTTGGGAGTAGGTTTGGTGTTACTAGTGTTAGTATACTTGCTGGCATTTTTCCAGTTATATAATATTTTCTTGTAGATAACTTTTCTGAAAATAAAAAATGCCTAGTGGTTTTGTCATATTTTTACTGACAAAAAGTTGTTGTCTGCTTAGGTTGTCGACCAATGGGAAACCATCGCCACCAGCTATCGGTGCCAAAGTGACTTTTGCTGATATTGCAACGGACGGCCAGAACAAGGAAAACGATCAACCAGCAGCGGATGACGAATCTGTGGCGAACACAGATGAGAAACCTTCGGTGCCACAGCCTCCTTCGCAGCAACAGCAACATGTCTCCAATAACAACGCAAAAGACGCAGACAGCGACGATGGTCTTGCCAAAATCATTCCGTGGAGAGCTCAACTGAGGAAGACCAATAGCACTCTTAATCTTTTAGAGTAATATACCGCCTATATATTATCCACAATAACTGTTCCATATTATTATTATTTTTATTATTTATATACATATTATACTTATGATTATTAATTTTATTATCATATACATATATATTATAAAGATATACTTAAATAATATTTATAATTTATGCAATACGCCCATTGTATACTTTTATATAAACGTTGTCTTCTCTATGCTGTTAATAATTAAAAACAAAAATTCACAACAATAATTGTGTGTTAAGGACCAGATTCAAACGTATATAGGCATTTATAATATAGTTTTATATATTATAATATAAATAATGCAATATAATATTATTTAAACTATAATGTCTACGCAGTCTACATTTATACATTGCAGTATCTATATATGATGTTCTAATATATTAATCTCGCGCGCCGCATGTATAAATATAAGCCCTTTGAAATTGTTTTTTTTTTTTTTTACTTTATTTAATTAAACTTGAATACTCTCGAAATATAGAATATCGATTTCCATTTGATCCTGTGTATACGAATTGTATCATCTATCCTCTTCTCAATACATAAATTAAAGACGCAGTGTTTTAACTTTTAAATAAATTATAATTATAATAATTATAATTCGTTAAAAGTTTAGTTTTGCTATTGATATGTTATTTCACAAAATATGACCACAAGAGCGCTCTTTTAAGATATAGTAAAAATATCACAACTTTAAAATTTGTACGATTCAACTAAAATTAAATATCATTGGCTCCGAACCTCAATCCAACCCCAATTATCAATACGTTCTTACTCGATTTATTTTTATTTTTAATTTCACCCGAAAGTTTTAATTTGAGTTCGACTTTGTATTATTTACAACATTGTGTATACACAATACACATCACAATATCATTATTTCATACATACAGAACATAATATTGTATATATCACAGAAGTTAATCACCAGATTCCGTTATACAAAAAGGGCCCTAATTTTCCCAGTAAAAAATTCAAATTATACATCCACCGCCTCAACTAGCAAGAACCAAAACTGAGTATCTCGTGCAGCTCTTAAGTATGAGGCATCAGAAAACATTAAACGATTGGCCAAACACCGGCCAATACTAAAAGCGGACGACGATAAAAAGTGCTTTTCCTTGAAGCCGTTGTCACTTATTTACAAACCATCGCTTCGTGTTTATCAACTCTCCAAGCCCCGGATCCGCGTGGTGAAGATATGATCATCGCTTCAATTGTCATTATTGTTATTAGTAATACGAAATAGCCTGTTCTAGACCCCCCACTTCATCCCCCGTTAACCTAGTGAATCCCTCCCCTTACTCCCCCGGCCTATACTATGGCTTCCGATCCACTCCCCCCGCCCACATCGTGGCTCCTCCACCTAACCTCCCGCCAATAGTCATATGGAATGTGCATACCTATACTATATGTATACTATACATACATACATAGTGTATACTTGTATATAATAAATTAGTGTACTCAATAACACAAGTCTACTCAAATAATATTTTTATAAATTATATCATTGGAATGTGTATAGCCTTGAATCCTCGCAGGACTAACAGAAATATGTTTGTGTCCTGTATAACTCAGTGTAATCAGTGTTACAGATTTTATTGATAATATTAAATTCATCACATATTAGTGCGTATCGCGGATGACTTAGACAATTATTTACTCACATTCATGGCACGTTTGCTAAATATATCCAACCACAGATCATTGCAAGTGCAATTGTTTAACGTTCAACAAGTGTGTATTTAGTTTCGTTTTTATAGTTAAATCCCATTTTATTATTAATTTAATTGAAATGACATAACTCGTCGAGCAACTAGCAGATGTAAATATCAGTGTCGTATTTACGAACTTATTTGGAGGAAGGGGAATGCATGGACAGTAAAAAATTAAAAATTCATCACTCATCAGATAAAAAAGCATAAAAAGAGCAAATAAAAAAGGTCAAAATAATTGTAAACGGCAAATTGAAGACTGCATCCCCTCACGATTTTTTTCTGAGATCATTCCTGACAAGTGACTACATAGATTAATTTGCTTGACATTACTATTCAATGTAAACAATCTTCTTAACAAATAAAATATTATTATTATACTATTAGCCCGTGTTATTCAACTATTCATTTACTATTAAGATTATAAACAAATTATTTGTCTAATAGAATTAATTATAATTAACCATATTAATATACCAGTTGTATTCATAAAATACTGAAAAAAATAGTTGTAAACAACGATTTTAAAAACTAATTATTTGTATTCGCTTTTCAATAAAAAAAAAAAAATGTGTGTAATGTAAAAAAAGTAAATATCTTTAAATCAATTTATAAGTTAACAGACTATAATAAAGCGTTACCGCAAGTTCCACAAAAAGTTCATACAAATGGAGGAATACATAAATTGATAAATCTAATGAATTAAATCTAACGATGTTAATTATCGAAATAAATAAAAGTGAAATCATTGTACAAAGAAACATACATGAAATAGAAGAAAAAAGGAGATTACCTTATCACAAATTACACATATTAAGTTATTTCAAACTACATCTATGATTTCTTAAAAACTAAAAAGGTTTTAATGTCATATTTTTTTCATGTAGGACTTTAATATTTGATGATTATGTTTAAGAGCAGAAATGCTAATAAATATGCAAATATATTATTGTAAATAGAAAATAGAACATGTTATGTGTCATGTGTGGTGGGGAAATGTATTACTAAAATATAAATAAGTTTAATAATAAAATTTAATATTTTCTGAAAACAAACGATAACACGTGAAATAAGTTATTGACAGTGGTTAAGTGTAGATACTAAGAATAGGCGTAGTTAGGGGGACTTAGTCCCCCAAAATGCAGACGAAGCCCTTCAAAAAATTTGACCAACCTACGCCTATAATACTAGGTAGTTGGTGATGATGGTGATAGTAATAGGGAGAAAGCTTTGGCCGGCTATGAGGTGTTTGAAGTTTTGAACCTTCAAATTCATACTACTTGTGTTAATAAATAATAATAAACTAATAAATACGATATATTGTATGTGGTCTATGGATAAAATTTTAATCTGCTAATAATAATTAATTGCATTAATATTTTCTGACAAAGACAACACAGTTGACACATCGCGTACTTTATAGTTTCCACGGTCTCTTTGAGAGTTTGAGACTACAAATACTTTTCAACGAGCATATCGATACTAAATTACTAAATACTAAATAGTAAATAGTACACGACTGCCACGGACCACGACAATGTATAATAATTAATAATATTATGTAATAAATAATAATAAACACTATTGGAAATCACGACATTACCTGATAAATGATAATCAATACTACAAACCCACTGAATAACCGGAATTTTCTAGGTAAACCCCTCCAATTAACATGTATTTTTAGAAATGGAAACTTTTTTCATCGTTTGATGTCTTAACGAATTAATATGCGTGATCGTACTATAGCGTATGGTTTATAGTAATCAATAAAATCTATAACTACTAATTTTATCACAGTTTACTAGTGTAATAATTGAAAAAAAATTATTCAATTTTCAACTTTAATATCTTTTCTAGTAGGAAAGTGAATCCAGTTGGTACTTTGAGGGATCAAAATGTCAAATGTAAAAATTCCCACTGTAAATTTTTACTAATTGAAAAACAAGAAAAAACATTTTGGGAAAACAAAATTTTTTACTCAATATCAGTTTTTGTTGTAATTCAAAAAAATAACCGTATAGGTACCTATATAATGATTTACACAAAATATTTTTATTAAGATTTTCTACACGTAGTACAATTTTAAAAATATTTAAACGTCTTTTGAGCTATTAGGTATTTGGTGGTGTGTGAATTTTTTTCTCTAATATAAAATATTATTGTTATTTAAAAAATATTTTGACAATATTTGTCATTAAGTTTTTTTTTTATTCAACCTCTATTGTGAGCTGATAAAATATGATAGACGATAGTAAATTATAATAGATACTAAAGTACTATGATTTAATTATTTTATTAAAAAAACGATCAATTTGTGAATTTTTAGGAGGGGTAGATAAGGCTTCAACTTCTGAGGTCATTAGTCATCATTCGTCATTTTTTTAGTTATTAATGTTATTATGAATTATATTGAAATTGAACAACCTTTTCCGAATTTATTTATATACCGCAATACTGGATGATAAGGCATCATAGATTAAACATACACATTACACACGTCATATTATTGTGTCTACAATATTTGGACTACAGCCTATACGAATACCAAAATTTTTAAAGATTATCAGTTTTCACAGATCTTTTACAAACTCAACAACCGGACAAGTCAATAGGTATCATAGCCCGCAAAGAACATTCCATAAAATATAATTTATAGCGTGTTTAATGTTTACATTTGGCAATCGTTTAACTGTCTGAAAAATGCTAACGATTAAATGTGTATATAGCAAGTATTAATAATTTTCGCCTGTTGACTTTTTATTTATATTTCCTCGGTTCTTCGTACAACCTCAGTGTCTACTACATATCTCAACATAATACATAACAAGGTAACTATATTTAGTAATACTAGTATTGTTTAGAAAATAAAGTTACTAAAAACAAAGAATTTATTATTCTATATCGTACAAATGTTTAAATTAAATTGATTTAAGAATAATGCATCTATTTATTGTAATATATACATAGATTCTAAGTATCACATGTAGGTAACACAAAATATGGTAGGCAATGGTTATAAGAAACCATGTAAAAATATTCAAAAATTAAGTTTTTTAAATGGGTTTATCTTAATTTTAGAATCAATTAGCCAATAATATTATATTCTAATTTATTTCATTATTTGTATTATTATTAATTTATTTTGTTCTTTAATGTACCTAATTAATTCTTATACAAGATTGCAGATAGAGAAAAACATGGGCATTAAAGACGATTTTGTATCAAATATTATAAGAAATGAAATCCGTTACCGTAAGAAAGAAAAAAAAACTAAAGGTAAATTCCTTTATTATAATTTTTAATCTTTTATGAGTGTTAACCAAAATATATATTGTATTTGTATAATAATACCTAATAATATTTTATAACTTCAGGTTCAAAGTAAATTATTAAAGTATGTAGGTAATAGAGTAATGATTAAACAAAATGCCTGATTGTTGATTGAGTCAAAAAAGCAAAACATTAAATAAATAATAATATAACACAATACTAGACCTTGTGTTTGAATTTTGGATCATGTTCAAAAACAATAAAATTTAAGGTATAACATAATTACATAGGTACCACTTGCTTAGAAATTAAAATGTTTTAAAAAAAAAAACTTATTTTATTTATTTTAATACAATAATAATAATATTACTACTACCTATATTCATATTTAATTGCATTTAATTATTACAAATTTAGTTTTAAAAACTTACTTATCTATAGTTAATAAAATATAATATAATAAAATTATAGGAATGATAAAATTTTTAAAAAAACTTGATAATTTTTTCAATTTCTACATTTAAGGTTATAATTAGCAAATGTTTAGGTTAGATGGTCATGGACATCTGACCTATGTGATTAATACAAGTTTTTAATTTTTTTTTTTTTGTGTTTGTTTAAGTTTGTTCATATACGCAAGTAGATTTAATAGATCTAAACGTTATATTTAATTATTTTACAGCTAAATCCTTTATTTTTAATATGCATATGAGACTTCGATATAAATAAAAGTAAAGGTAATAATTAAAATTAGTTTTTAAAAATATCTCGTGACTTTAAGTATACCTATAATATAATTTCAATTTGAAGGATTTAAATCAATTCTTTTTTTACTAACATATTGTTATACAATTGTTTAAAGATTTATTAATATTTAGATCAATTATTTAAGAACGATATTTATTAATACAATTAATATGAATAATAACATGAAAATAATTTATTTCACAGTTTTATTTCTATGAATTTTTTTGCATAATAAACTATTAACTTCTAAACTATCTTTAGACAGATTTAATTTATTTAAACTGATTTTAAATGTTTAGATGCTGCTACTATTACCTATTCTTCAAAAATTGCATTAAATGATGAAGAATTCACATTATTGTAAGTTATTGAATTAAAAATAAATTATTCTAATAATATATTTTACAAACTTTCAAAATACATATTATAGTAAATTGTTTTTATATTTTTATCAAGATCATTAAATATTATCTCTTTTTAAATAATTATTTATTAATAATTGATGTTTATTATGTATATTTTAAATAATAACTTCTGTTGATTTTAGATTGAAAAAAATGGTAAAAAAATTAAAGAAAAAGAAAAAAAAATCAAATAAAGTTAGTATTTTTGATTGACTAAAAATAAAATAAATCATTATTTTATATTTTAAATTTTAGGTTCAATTAAAAAATGGAAAAACATTCAATTGCACTAAAGATGAAGAAGTAAAATGCAATATATGCAAACAGCTATTCTCAAAGACCTATTTTGCTATTCATACACAATCTCATAAGGCTTTATATAATTGTGATATTTGTGACAAGAATTTCTCTTATCTTTCAATATTCAATAGACACAAAGCAACTCACAAAGGTGATGTGGTAGTATATGAATGTAAATTATGTGATTCAACATTTAATAATTCTAGTGATTTATCCAAACATGGTATATTTCATGAAGAAGAAAGTATAATTTGTCAATTTTGTTTTAAAAAATTTAAAAAATTTGATGATTTTCTAAACCACATTAATATTTACTCATTTGACAAACCCTATCAAAGTTTAACTAACCACGTAAAAATGCTCAGTGAAGGCACACACTGTTCATCATGTTGCACTTGTAAAATGAGTTTTGCAAAGCGGGATACTGTAATAAAATATATAATATGATACATTTTATCAAAGAACTAATATAATTTTACCAAGCAAAGACAATACATTATATTATGTTTAAATTAAACAATATTTTAATATAATTTATTAAATAGGATGATTTTTTTTTTTATCCAACTAATTAATTTTTGTTTTAAAATTTAGCCAATTTAATATTGCTTTAATTATTATACACTGATTTATTTTATCTCATTTTTTTTATACATATAAATATGTCAAAATTTTAATTTACATTATTATACTTAAGATATTAATTCAATATGTATTTATTTATTATTTCTTAGCATCATAATTTTCATACAATCCTTTATTTTTAAACAAACTATGTAAAAAATCTCAGTATTCCTGACTGAAATAATGATGTGAAAATTAGAATCTTAATCTTAATTACATAAATATAATTATTTTACTATTTCTTACTTCTATAGTTTAAAAAAAAAAAATAAAAATCACGCTGTATAGTAAAATTTGAGGACAAATGCCATACACAAGGGTATTAATGATAAATTATCATAGTTCATGCCAATTGCGGTTTGTTTTCTGTATACTCTATACTCTAAGTGAAAAAAAATCCCTAACAGATATATATATAACTTATATTTTTAGATGATAATATGAACCAAATATACTGTTTAGAATGAGTATTCCTTTTTTAAACTTCTAAAATTAAAATTGCAACTTATACCTAAGTAAATTATTAGCAATAAAATCTATAACTATTAACTAGTCAATTATCCATCAACTGCAACACTCAACATATTAATGTTGACATTTTTTATTATTATAAATCTACATCCAGACATCCTAAAACTTTATTGCATTTAAAAGTGAAACCATAAATTTTCCAAAACTTAAATGCCAATATAAGTTAATCAACAAATACAGAAAGATAAAAGTAAAAACCTAATTATCGTATTGTTTTGTGTTAATACCAACAATTATTGAATGAATAAGATTACTTGAAATCAAAATAATTTTTACTTTTAGTTGAAAATTAAATACTAAAAAGTGCTTATAAATTAATTCTAGCACCTATGTAGATTGTAGTTACCTACTAAAATCTGAAATAGTCTTTATTTTTGGCTCTATACGGTTCATTCAACAGAGTTGGGAGATTAATGACGTATTGAATTCCCTCCCATCCTAAGAACTATTATTAATATGAATTATCTTTAAGGTGTTTGTATTTCTTTAAGAAATTAAGAGAATTGTTATATTTTTTGCTAAAACACTGGATGTCACTATAATATTTAACCACTAATCTGGCATTATATTTTATTAAATATTATTTTATTTTTTTATATTAAAAAAAAAAAAAATTGAAAATTATACTATGTTCAGAAAACTATTGATAATAATAATATAATTTTTACATATCAAAAATTATTTTTACCTTAGTATTTTGGAATTTAATAACAATGTACAGTAATTTATAAATTAAATAAAAACAAATTAAATTAGTTAACAAAAATACTTTAGCAAACAGTGGTGTCACTAAGATAATTTTGTTGGGGATATCATAATTGTGACAAGTTAAAAGAAGTAAATAACATTTTTATTTTATTTTTATTTTTCTATTTTTGCTGCCTTGGAATAAAAATTCCATTTATGCCTAATAATTTCTAATAATTTATACATTTTATTTTCATAGTAATATTTTTAGTTTTCTCAATTGGTTAATACAGTGGTATATTATGTAAAATTAAAATGGTCTAAGGGGTGATATATTACCCATGCCCCCCCCACACACACACACACTAATAATGCCACTGTTAACAATTATGTACAAAATACATAATTATAATAATATAATATATAATTTATACCTGATACTTTATCTTTAAACAATAATTAGAAATTATTTAATTTTCTTGTTACTTTTTAAATTGCGTGCACATACCTTTATGAAAAACTTTAAGCCCTGGCCATCGGGTGCACAACAGAAAACGCTTGAATTATGCGCCACGACAAAGCCCATACACCTGATAAATTTTTTCATAGTATAGGTAGAGCACTACAGAAGAAATACTTATAGTGCCTTAGTATAGGTAGGTAGTAGGTACCACAGAGATCGACGATTTCGATGACCAGTCACAGCTACATTATGGCATTCCAGTCATTCCACATCGATTTCTGTCAGTCGTTTTACTTTAGTTGAAACTATTGAAGAACACCGCGTCTTTACGTCGGATTCAAACGGCATTAATACTATGTTTGGAAATTTGGCATTAAGTTGTAACCCATTTTCAGTTAAGACATGCGAGATTATTAACAGCCACATCGAGGTCGGTCAGACCATTGATTATAGAATAGGTAGATAACACAATAGTCTATTTTACAATCAATTAATAGTCAGACGTTCAATTCGATTGGAAGTTGGAACCAATTCGCAGTTAAACGGTACTTTGGTTTAAGACGTTGAAATATCGAGATGAAAACTTTTGTGATTCATTTTCTTAATTATAAATTAAGAAAAAAAAAAACTGCCAAGGAATGCAAAACCGGGTAAATACTAGATTATATAATGTAAATATAAATGTATAAATCACATGGAATAAATTATTTTAAATTATAAAAATTATAGAATTTAATAAATGTACCTACCTATCTACATTTAATAAATACATATAACAATAAAATGTAGAAAAAAATTTTCAAAACGGAGGGAAAGTAGGCAACTGCTTTGTGTTAGTGATACATAATAATATACGTTAAAAGTTTTGAGGGCGCATTCCTATAGGAATAATATTTTTCAATTTCAATAAAATAACTAAAATTGTATTCTTATCCAACACCAACAATTTAAATTTTAAAAACAGTTTAAAACTACTTAAATCAGTCTACAGTATGACATGGTATTAACAAAGTTATTTTATAGACCGAGTTCATGTGTAAACTTTAAATTTCATATGTAATTGATACCTAACTAAATTAGTTCAAAAGTAAAAAAAAAAAAAATACCTATAATATATATATATATCTAATAATCACAAAACTGAATATCTCAGTGTATAATAGGTAACACTTTGAATTATGATATTCTAATTCATAAAATAATTATGTGATAATTTTAGACAGAAACTTGTTCACTTCAAAATTATTATTATTTTTAATTTTTGTACAAAATAAAAATTTCAAAAATAATTTTAAGAAAAATATATATACACATGCAAACCACAAATATACCTATTTATGTATTTATACGATGCATATGTAGTATTGAAATTTAAATTTACTACAATGGATAATAATGCAAATTATTTCATAGCTCAATAATTATTGAAACTTTAAAAGGATACTAGTTTTATTAACTTTGAAAATTACTTTTAATTAAACAACATTTGGAAACAAGCTTTTTTCTTTTTCAAGTTACCTACATATCTTATGTAAATACAAATTAATGTATCTCGTTCAAGACTAACTTTGAAGTCCCATGTAAAACTATTATTTCAAGACTTAT